TTGTTTTCTTCTTTTTTTCCTTTCTTTCTTGTGTTATTTTCCTTCTTGCATCACCCAACAGGCGACAGCAATTGTGACCCATACAGCCCAGCTACAACTGTACTTTCTACAGCCCCAACCCCACCCACCAGACAAGAGCCAATACCAGCAGCTATACACCTGATTGACAACAACAACCAATATCTGCCAAAATAATCCTAAATTAAGCTGCATAAATGGCAACCAGAGAACAGTATACATACTTCCATACCATAAACAAACCCATCTGTTATTTGGTCCACATACAAACAACGAAGTGTGTAGTTGTGTTAACTCCTTGAATCTTGGTGACATAAACTCGTGACACTCTATAAAAATGAATAACCAGAAGAAGAAACTAGCCAATAACAATGAAAGTGCAACAAAAACAGAAAGTGATAGCAGAAATGAAATTCTAATTGAACATAAACGGAGTTAATAGAGAAATAGCTCACCTTGGGAATGTCAACATTGCTGCCCTTGAAGAAATTCTAGACATTCAACCGGAGAAATTTAGTGAAGGTAAAGGAGCTCTGGCAGCGTAGTTGTTACGAATCGGGCTGCGAACCAGAAGGTCAGCAGTTCGAAACTACCAGCTGCTCCACGGGAGAAAGATGAGGCGATCTGCTCCCGTAAAGATTTACAGCCTCGGAAACCCTATTCAGGGTTGCTATGGGTTGAAACCGACTCGAAGGCACTTAACAACAACAACAATGGAGTAAGTAGTTGCAGCAAAAAAGATGACAATGACCCAGAAGTAACACCACCAAAAAACTTTCCATTAAAGGAACTCTCAGAGATATTTTACAATATTGAAAGTGTAAAGGATAAAATATTGGATTTTGAACCACAAGGTTGGTGTTTCAAGCCTATCAGCTTCTCCATAGGAGAAGGATGAAGTTTTCTGCTCTTGCAAAGATTTAGTTTCAGAAACCTTATACAGAAGGTGACTATGATTGGAACTGACTCGATAGCACTTATTAACAACAATCCAAATGTAGAAATTTTCCAAATTATAAAAAAGATGCTTACTCTATACCGTAAGTTATATGACAAGAAAAAGCTAAGTACTGTTTAAACTACTCTTAATAAGTTCTTTTACAAATAAAAGTTTCATTCTCAAAGTTCCTAATGTTTTATTACAGTGTGCCAAATTATACTGTACACTCAACTGCTAGCCTAAAGGTTAGCATCATGATAATCTGCTTCCATGAAGATTACAGCCAAGAAAACCCAAAGGAGCTTCTACTCTGTAACACATGGGTTGCCATGAATAGGCTCAACAACAATAACAACAAATAAAGATTAGTGTTAGTTGTACTATTTTTCTTTTCATTTCCTTATAGACTTATAAAGAACAGTAAGAAAATGTTTAGTGATTAACAAAACATTATACAGGTCACAGAACAATTATAACTTATGCCATTCATTATTTGCTTTGCCTGGTTTCAACTTGCATGATCATTTATAAGGTCCCATTGTTATTCTTGTTAAGTGACATCGAGTCAGTTTCAACTCATAGCGGCCACGTATAGGGTTTCGGCGGCTGTAAGTCTTTGCAGGAGCAGCAAGCCTCTTTCTCCCACAGTGCAGCTGGTGGGCTCAAACCACCAATGTTGTTGTCCGCAGCCCAGTTCTTATCCTACAGAGCCACCACACTCCATAAGGTGGCAGCTGGTACCTATAATTTCTAGCATACCAAGACACATATCACAACTAGCAGGCATACTTTCCACCCTTTCCTCCTGATCCTGCAGTCTACTCAAACAAAAAAGAATTTGAAATTATACTGGGTGATGCTAAAAACATATCTTTTCAGTTAAGTGCTGAAAGTGACTAAGAAACACTGTCATAGCTGAACACACAATTTCCCAAATTCATCTTAGTACTACCCAAAATACGTATACTTTAATGCTGAAATACATACATGCTAGTGCTGAGATTCCTGGTGTGGCACTGTAGGATCAGCACTGGAGGTCAGACCTACTCAAGATCAGCAGTTCAAACCCACCAGCTGCTCCTTGGAAACCCTATACACAGTCGCTATGAGTCAGAAGCAATTCAACGGAACTTAACAACAACAATGCTAAGATGGATTGACACAGTGGCAGCAGCAATGGACTCAAACGTAACAACAATTGTGAGGATGGTGCAGGACTGGGCAGTGCAGTGCTTCTTTCATTCTTTTGAGCTTTGTGTCACTATGAGTCAGAGCCAATTCGAGGGCAATAACAACAATGCTGAAATAGTTATTCAATTTGTCCTTTGTGATAGCATAGTATTTCATGTCTGCTCTCATTCCTTACACGCAAGAGCAAAACCATTAATGTTATGATGTAAATACTGATGGGGACATAATGCAGTATAGTAACTTTAGCATCACACTTGAAATTGAATACTACCTTTGTACCACTTACTATCTATGCAACCTTCAATAAATAACTTTTTTTAGAGTTTCAATTTCCTAATCTGTGAAATAGAGACGATACTAATACCTTCTGTTGGGATTATTGTAACGATCAAGAGAGATTGGATATGTGAAGTGCTTAGCAAAGTATGGCACACAGCACTTAAATATCTACTATTATCCTCATCCTTAATATTACTATCATTAATACAAATATAAGATGGCATTTATTTTAAACACATATTTTAAATACATAACTACTAATCAGCATAGTTTTCAAAGATCAAATTTTCTTATTGAAGTTCTGATAAATACCAACCACTTGCAAACGTTTTCAAGACCTGACCTCAACTTCCTCCAGATCACTTTTCCCATGGCACATGTGCAAAGGGATGCCAACATTCACTCATCTTCTTCTTGCACCTCTTCGGATTCCTATGTCAAAACCCTCCCTGCAGTCTGTCTGCTCAGTTTCCTCTTCTGAGAACAAGGAGAACTAAAGCCATTTCCCATTTCTCAGAGCTATCTGCCAGAGCAGTAGTATCTTGCTCTCTTACTGTCCACATGACTTAACTGCCAGTTTTCTCTCTCAATTTTAATCCAAAACTTTGGTTCTAAACTAAAGATCATTATTATCCTTATAGATCCGTAACGCTGCAAAGGGACCTAAAGGTCAATTAAGGCCAGCCTCTTTTCTCTGCTAACCAATTAATTTTCCCAAAAATACTCACATGAATTATTTGAGCAATGTCTGCTTTAACACTCTAAGTGACAAAAAGTCCTCTACCTCCCACCCCAGCACAATTTCAACTTGGTTAGAAAGTTTTCCTTATGTTGAAGCAAGATCTCCTTCTTCACAGTTTCCACTCATAAGATCTAATTCTGCATTTGAGAGAAATATAGAAAGTTTGATTGTTCTATATGACAGTACATCCAATATTTGAAGACTCCTGAGTTTCTCTTTCCCATGTTACACAGCACAAAGCACAATTTAAAGTTCCTCCCCTCACGATCATGGGAGTCCTCTGGTCCAGGCATGGGCTTGCCAACATGATCCAACAAGTTGCTAAAGTGTTTTCCTTGCCAACATTTGGGTGCCAAGTAATTACACTGCAAATGATCCTGTTACCATCATTATTTTATACAAATTATTAATTTAAACTAGTAGCTCAGGAAAAGTGACTCTCACCTTAATCATGGTTAAACGGTAATGGTATTAAAGTTCTAAAAACTGCAAAAAGAACTGTTTTCTTTTTTAACTTACCCTAGTCAATTACTGGGAAGAGAACAAAATATGATGAACCAAACCCATTGCTGTTGAATTGATTCTGACTCACAGAGACCTTATGGATATAGCAGAACTGTCCCCAGATGTTTTCCAAAGCTGTAATCTTTAAGCAAACTGCCACATCTTTCTTCCACAGTGGGTTAGAAGCCAAGCACTCAATCATTGTGTCACCAGGAATCCTTAAAGTAGGATTACCCACCAGTGAGTCAGTTTCAACTCATAGCGACCCTTCTTTCCTACCAAGTCAAATAAATACACATAGCTGTGAGAGGGATCCAACAATTGGAAGTTTGGCTAAAAGCAGTTTTGTCCTCAGAAAGGGATTCAATTCAAAGAAAGCAATAGCAGTTAGTCAAAGAATATCCTCTCTACCTTATTAGAAGCAGGTGCCTGAAAGGAGGATCAAATCGTGTGCTCTCAAGACCTGACCAATGTAAACAATGTTAAAATAAGTGGCAGCTAATTCCTGTGCTCACCTAGCCTAGTAACACACACACACAGAGCAAAAATCTGACCTGGCCAGCAGTGCCTGTCAGGGCAGCAGCTGGAGGAGGGTTCTGCCCCAAATCCTGAGAAGCTCCAGCCAGTGGAAATAATGTCCTTAGATGACCCCTGACCCCTAGATAGTGGAATAGGAAGAACAGAGCAGAGAGAAGGTCTCTTGTGCTCTTGGGTGCCTGCCCTGAGCAAGAAGGTCCACAGATGATTCGCTCTGCCTTCCAGTCCTGGGGCGGGGGGACAGTTAGACTAGATGGGGCTCTGGGACAGGAAGATATCTTGGGGTATCTTCGGGGCGAGTTTTCACGTATATGGGGGAGGATTAAGCAGGGAACGGGTCCCTTCTCTGGGTCCTTGCGGTGGCGCAGCAATAGTAGGAGCAGGTGTCCTGCGGCCTCAAGGAAACGGGCAGAGTCCCCCGTCCACACTCCCCAGCTCTAATAGGGTTGTCCCCAGCCTGGCCCATCCGCCCATCAGGTGAAATTCCCAGCCCTACCCAGTTCTTCAGGCTTCCTCCGGGGTCCTGCAGGGACTCCCACTTCTCTTCCGACCCCAATCTCAAGGGCCCCCTTCAGTCCTTCCAGACCCCAGCACTCCTCACGCGATACACTGGACTGTAGCATCCCCCATGGCGCTCCGCGGCTCAAACCTGCTCTCCATCAGGTTCGCCCTCTCCCTGCTCCGCGCCCTTTCCCTTCCTCACACCGCGGCTCCCCCTCAGGCCGGGAGCCCTCTCTCCGTCCCTCCCTGCTTCAGGCCGGCTGCCCAGGTGCCTCTACTCGTACTCACAGAATTCGGCGATATACCAGGTCACTGCGTAGTTCTCCTCACACCAGTCCAGTGTGGAGGTCGTGGACCCCCAGTAGCCCTCCCGGTCCCCGGCCGGAGCCATCGTGTGCGCCTCCGCCCCAGTGCTCCGCTCGCAGCGTTCGGCTCCGCGGGCGCCCAGGTTGGCTCCGGCCCAGCTCGCGCGCCCGACTGGCGCCCCGCCCTCTCTCCCCGTAGGGGCGGGGCCCTGCGCCCGGGGGCTAGGTCGGCCTCGGGGCGGGGCCGGCTCCCGTCACTGAGACCGGCCGACGGGGAGACTCCGCCCACCGCCGCCGTAGGCCGAGTTCTGGCGCCAGACCCACCCCAGGGCTTCTGGTTTGCCCTGCCCACTCCTTCCCCTGAGGCCGGGGAAGCGGAGTGATCCGGGAAGGGAGTGCTTGCCAGACCTAGACACTCCTCAGGCTGTAATTTCAGGGTTCCTGATATTTCAGTCAATATTTTATGTAGCCGTGTTTCTGAACCTTAATTTGTGTGTGTGTGTGTGGCCTGATTTAATTGAGGCGGGGGTGGGATGTGCCCAGGAACCTTCTAGCAAGCCCTTGCTTGATAAAACCTGTGTACCTCAGTGTCTTCCATGGGAGTCCAGAAGCAGAACAACCCACCCCCAGGATTCCCACGAAATAAAGTGTGTTTGTTTTGTTTTTATAGAAAGGTATAACCAACTCTTAGGACATAAGGTAAATCAGGGCAAAAATAACACAGGACCGGAAAAGTGGGCTTGAGACCCTAAAAGAGAATGCAGCCAGAGTACTAAAGCAATTTGGGTTTTCCGGGTCCTGAACTTCCTGCCTTGTTATTGTTGTTACGTGCTGTCAGGTCAGTTCCGACCCATAGCGACCCTGTATCCGGTTTCTGAGGAGTGGCTAGCGAGCTTCAACCGCCAACCTTGCGATTCAAACCAGCCTTGAGTCCAGCACATTAACCCACAGCGCCACACCAGGAGTCAACCAGCTCATGTGATAACATGTCGGGAGCTGCTTCATAGGGTTTCCTTGGCTGTAATCTTTACTGGGAGTTCTGGTGTGGCGCTAGCCACAAGATCAGCAGTTCAAACCCACCAGCCGCTCCTTAGAAGCCTTATACAGGATCTTGCTGTGATTCGGAAGCGACTCCACAGCATTTAACAACAATCTTTACAGAAGGAGTTCACCAGACCTTTATTCCTCAGAACTGCTGGGTAGGTTCAGGTTGCCAACCTTAGCTTAGAAGTCCATCACAAACTGCTTGTGCCACCCAGACCCCTCTTCTAACTATCTGTAATTGTGCCTTCTTCTCCAAACAACCAATAGTCTCCACCTATCTCCATCCTCAAGACATTAATGTTCCACAGAGCTGCCAGAGTGATTTTTCAACTGTAGTGTCAGATTGCCCAGAAACAAGGTAAACATGGGTTTATACTTGTATTGATTTACTAATCTATAGTGAACAATTTCACATTTCCCCACACACATCAAAGATTCTGCTTCTAGATAGGATTGGCATCTGTCTCTTTCCCAACTCCACAGCATCCTCCTGTAGAATCGAAACTTCTTTTCAAATTTACAACCCCTGACCTGGACAGAGTGGTGAAAACAAGTAAAACTATCCACAGCAGATGCTCCTTGGAAACCATATACCAGGTGGAAATGCATCGGGAGTGACTCAACAGCACTTAACAACAACAACAACAACAACAGCCTTGTGTACTGAATTGTTGTTGTTAAATCCTGGTGTGCCACTGTGGGCTAATGTGTCAGATTGCAAAGTCCTTTTAATTGCAAGGTCGGTGGTTTAAGCTCACCAGCTGCTCCTTGGAAACCCTATACAGGATCACTATGGGTCGGAATCATAACAGCACTTAACAACAACATTTACCAGGCCCAGAGCATGGTGACTCTGTAGGATAAGCTCTGGACTACAAACCACAAAGTCAGTGATTTAAGACCACCAGCCATCCCATGGCAGAAAGAAAAGGCTTTCTATTGGTGCAAAGATTTACAGGCTTGGAAACCCTATACAAGGTTGCTATGAGTCAGAACAGACTCTACAGCACTTAACAATTTACCAGGCCCTGGTTGACTGGTTGCCGGGAACACACACAGGTTAACAGGAGAAAGCCAAAGAAGCCCATCTTCAAAGAGATATAAAACTCTTACAAGAAAACAGAAAAGTAAATTTTTGTAACCTTGGGTCAGGCAATATTTTTTTAGATAAATCACCAATGTATAAGTGAAAAAAGAAAAAAAAGATAAAATTGGACTGCATCAAAATTAAAAACGTTTGTACTACAAATGATGCCATCAAGAGAGCAAAAATATATACCAACAAATATATAAAGGTTTGAAAGACTATTTGTACATGGGTATTTAACTTTGCTGCAAACATACCTATGAATGTGGTAGAGCATACAGTGGGCAAAATGAGGAAAACTTAGATATTATCAAACATCTTAAGGCAGTGAGTTGCTGGACCTAGGGGCTCAGGACCATAGTCTCAGGGGACACTAGGTCAACTGATAAAACATAGCCCACAAAGACAATAGTCTACATTCTATTTGGTGAGTAGTGACTGGGATCTTAAAAGCTCATGAGCAGCCATCTAAGGTGCGATTACTGGTGTTTCCATGTGCAGAAGAGTGATGAAAATTGAAGATACTTGGAATCAACTAGTCCAGTGGGCGAATGAAGCGGGTGAACATCAGATACCATGACTCTGAGACCTAGATGGCACCCAGCTACCACTACCAACTACTCTGAAAGGGATCACATTAGAAGGTCCTGGATAGAGTGGGAGAAAATGTGTAAAAAAAACCCTCAAAATTGTAAAGAAATGACCAGGCTTACTAGTTAGAAAGAGACTAGAGAAACCCTAGACTATGACCCTTCAAGTTTGGAATGGAACTCACTCTCATGATCCAATTTTCAGCTAAGCAGTAAGATAGGTATATATTGGGGACAACAATATTAGTAAAATATGCTCACCATTTAATGGTCAGTCATTCAAGATCAAAAGGGCAACATTTACCTAAGGACAAAGTTGAGAAGGGATGAAAAGGAGGGTGGAATGGAAACGGGAATCATAGGGAGGAAGTAGGATGACTGTTGTTGCATGGAGGGGATTGCAATCATTGAGATGAAACAAAGTATAATTTGTTGAATGTAAAACTGATGATCTCTCTAAACCTTCAATCAATTCACAATAAGTTTTTTTAAAAAAAAAAAACAAAACGAAAAGGCAATCCACAGATGGGAGAAAATATTTGTAAATCATATATCTGATAAATGTTTAGTTATTTTTGTTGTTGTTAAGTGCTGTCAACTCGGTTCCTACGACTAGTGACCCTGTATAGGGTTTCCAAGGAGCAGCTGATGGGTTTGAACTGCTGACCTTGAGGTTAGCAGTCCAGTGCTGATCCTACAATGCCACACCAGAAATCTAAATGTTTAGTATTCATAAAAATAAAAATAACTCTTATGACAAATAAACTAATTTTAAAATGATCAAAGAAACTAAATAGACATTTCTCCAAAGAAAATACATAAATGACCAATGTTGTTGTTGTTGTTGGTAGGTGCCATCTCATTGAAGGTCTTCCTGTTTTCACTGACCCTCCACTTTACTAAGCATGGTGTCCTTCTCCAGAGACTGGTCTTTCCAGACAACATGTTCAAGTACAAGAGATGAACTCTTGGCATCCTTGCTTCTAAAGAGCATTTTGACTATACTTCTTCCAAGACAGATTTGTTTGTTAATAATTTGTTTTTAATATCCGTCTCTAACACCATAATTCAAATGCATAGATTCTTCTCTGTTCTTCCTTAATCATTGTCCAACTTTCACATGCATATGAGGCAAATGAAAATACCAAGACTTGGATCAGTCTCACTTTGGTCCTCAAAGTGACATCTTTGCTCTTTAATACCTCAAAGAGGTCTTTTGCAGTAGACTTTCCTAATGCAATATGTCATTTGATTTCTTGACTGCTATTTCCATGAGCATTTATTGTGGATTCAAAGCAAAATGAAGTCTTTGACAACTTCAATCTTTTATTCACTTATTATGATGTTATTTACTGGTCCAGTTGTAAGGAATTTAATTTTCTTTACATTGAGGTACAATCCATACTAAAGGCCATGTGGTCTTTGATGTCCATCAGTAATCATTTCAAGTCCTGTTTGTTTCCACCAAGCATGATTGCGTCATCTATCTAACACATACAATGAGTTTCCTCTGATCCTGATGTGATGTCTTCACATAATCCAGCTTCTCTGAGTATTTGCTCAGCATACAAATTATATAAGTATGGTGACAGAATATAGCCCTGACACACAACTTCCTGATTTTGAACCATTCAGTATCCCCTTGTCCTGTTCTAATGACTACGTCATCTTGGTCTATGTACAGGTTCCTTATGAGCACAATCAAGTGTTCTGGAGTCCTAATTCTTAGCAATGGTAGCCATAGTTTGTTAAGATCCACAGTCAAACACCTTTGCATAGTCAGTAAAGCACAAGTAACAATCTTTCTGGTATTCTCTGATTTCAATCAAGATCCATCTGATGTCAGCAGTAATATCCCTCGTACCATGTCTTCTTCTGAATCCAGTTTGAATTTCTGGCAGTGTCCTGTTGATGTGCTACTGCAACTGTGGTAGTTGTTGTTCTTATTATCTTTGGCAAATTTTTATTTGCATATGATATTAATGATTTTGTTCCATGATTTTCTTATTCTGTTGGGTCATCTTTCTTTGGAATGGGCACAAATAACTCTTGCAATCTGTTAGCCAGATAGGAATTTTCCATATATCTTGGCAAAGACAGGTGCACTTTAGTGCTGCATCAGTTTGTGGAAACATTTCAATTTGTATTCCATCATTCCTGAAGACTTGTTTTTCCCCAACACCTTCATTGCAAATGGCCAATGTGCACTTGAAAAGGTGCTCAACACCATTAGATATTGTTGTTGCATGCTGTCCAGTGGGTTCTAACTCACAGCAACCTTGTATAGGGTTTCTGAGGAGTGGCTGGTGGGTTTGAACCATCAACTGTATGGTTTACAGTCTCGTGCTTATCCTACAGCACCACACCAAAGCTTCATTAGCCATTGTTG